GGTAAGTTATTTTGAGTGAAAACCTGTTCTGTATTTTTTTTGTCACAGAGAGAACCTTTCTGATGTATATTTTCAAAATACAAAAAACGGCTAAAACTATCTTATCACTTGCAATCATCAATTGTTTCAAAAATGAAAAATTTAAGATCAAAAGTTTAAAAAAACTACTCTAGTTTTGAATTGTTGAATGGAAAACTGAAAACTGGTTGTGAATTATTTCATTTGCCAGAGCAAGGACTTTTAACCGTGAAAAACTGGTTGTGAATTATTTCATTTGCCAGAGCAAGTGACTATGTTGTAGTTAGAACATAGTTGAAAGATGCCCGAGGGAAAAAGAGCGCGCCTGAGGGCACGAAGTGCCCGAGTGCGACTCTTTTGCCCGAGGCCGTGGTTGTGAATTATTTCATTTGCCAGAGCAAGTGACTTTGTAGTAGTTAGAACATAGTTGAAAGATGCCCGAGGGAAAAAGAGCGCGCCTGAGGGCACGAAGTGCCCGAGTGCGACTCTTTTGCCCGAGGCCATCTTCAACTATGCTCTAACTGTTCAAGAGTATGTTTCTGCTCTTTCTGAGGGAAAGATGCCAGAAAATTGTGAAAGAGCCCGGAAAAGTGCGCGAAACCATGCAAATGATTTCTTTTTTCATGCGTTCTAGTATTTCCTTTTTCATTCATGCCTTGTCGTGAAAGAACATGTGTGAAAGTGCAAAAACATACTCTTCTAATTGGAAACTAGACTTTTTTCATCCAGCAGGTTTCAAATATTTATTTGACGAAGTCAAAACAACTCTCTAAATGTTTTCATCAACGGTCAAGTTTCCAACCGTATATGCAGCTTTTGATAAAGTTTCATATTGTGTTAATTTAATTTCCCCTTCCCCCAGAAGTATTTTTTTCTGAGTTAAGTATATTAAGAAACATATTTAGCCTTTAGAGTGGGACAAAGCAAACGTACCTCTTACTAACCCTTTTTAGTAGCAAGTATTAAAATATCCACCTTGCGAAAAAATAACTAGAGCTAGTTCAACGTTTAAGCTCTTAAATTGTTTTTGCAATAAATGATGAACCCCTACATGCTTCGGGGAGAGAGAAATTGCATAGACAATTGCATATGCAATGGAAATAAGAAAAATTAATGAGAACCGTTCAAAAAGTTAAGCTTTCTGACAAGAAAATTGTCAGGGAAATGAGTTTGTGGGGTATTCAGAAATAGCTTCTATCAGAGGCCGGACTTCAGAAGTGTCGGAACAAGCTGGTACTCAATTTATGCTGTATTTGTTCTTGCCAAAACAGTAATAGGAATTCATAACATTACTTGTTGAATTGACAAACATTCTTCATTGTTTTGGACATTTTATTTTCATCAAATTAATTGGCAAAAAATATAAATAATGCAGAAGAGATGGCCACAATTTTATATTTTCTTTAGTTTTTGATTTCAAATCTCAATTCTGATGCAAATTGTTACAAAATATGATTATTATTTAGGACATGGTTGTGTTTTTATTTTCTTAAGATGGTGAGTGAATGAATTGCAGTAATAGTAAAAAAAAATTTGGGGACAATTTCTTTTTTTTATAATTTAAACAATTTGAAACAAAAAGAAGTGTTTTCTGGGTGAGATGCATCAAAGGTTTCTTATATCACAGTAATTAATGATAAAAAAAACAAACGGAAACATAAAAAATAAACATCTTGTTTTGACGGGCAGCAGGGTAATTGCGATTGACTTGCAAATAATATTTTAAAATCAACAAGACTGCTCTTATCAGGGCCAAGCCCTGAATGTTGCGACTGTCTTTTAAGGTTTTATGGAGCAGTAACAACATTAAAAAATGAAATGTAATAGAAAAAAATGAAATTTTTTTCTCTAAAATTTGAAATTTTTTATGAAAATCATCCCCCCACACGCCATATAAAGTACAAAAGGATAGATTTCGCTACTTGTAACAAATCAACTATGGCAAATAAGCTTCTTCCAACCAATTTGGAACAATTTTAAGATGGATCAACTCTCCGCTTACGCGTTAATAGCGCGAAATATATCGCGCGTTAATTGTCCCAAATTGGCCAAAATGGCAATCTTTAAACCCCCATTCGTAAGAATAATCACAGGTGAAATATCTTTTCAAAACTAAGCTCAAGACTACAAAACGGTTTGGATGATATAAAAAAATTCCGTCAAAAATGGCTTGTTAAAAAGTCGAAATTTGTCTGAAGAATAAAAAAACCCACCCCGAGCACAAATGTTCCGTTACTTTCGTATCGAAAGTCGGAACAATTACGCTAAAATCGTTCAAAAAGCTACTGGAAATTGAAAATTGGTTGTGAATTATTACACATGCGAGAACAAGTGAATTTTAATCGGAAACTAGACTTTTCCCATTCACAAAATTTTTCTCCCAGATCTGTTAAAAAAGGCTTTGCTTTCTCGCAAAACCAGTAACTTCAAAGCTCCTTTCTCACGTGGTCTAGTAAAACACGTGCCTTGAGTTTCGGGTCTGGGGTTCGAGTTCCGCGCGCGCCGACAAAATAGGATTCAGATCGATTTTAGTTTAATTTAAATATAGATTAAATTGAGATCAGTTTTAGTATCATAACAGCAAGATGAAAGTTTTTATCTAAGATGTATTTGAATCAATTTAATTGGATAAAATTCATCTTTTTTTGAATCTAAAAAATCAATTCGAAATGATTCTTAGTTGATTTAAATGAGTGCTTAGCCTAATTATAGCTTCGTTAACTCCTCATTAGCAATTTCAAGGAAAAAAAACTATAGTTTTTCAATAGTATATCAATTAGTGCAACTTTGGATCAATTAACTTACCTGAATCTAAATGGTCAAAACTTCTGAGCCGGATCAATTCGCTGCCCAAGCTGCAACGTAATCAAAAAATAAAATTTTTCCGATATTCAATTAACACATTTTGGCCAAATACACAGATTTTAGTAAACAAGTATAACAGGGAAAAAATTGTTGCAAGAGAACTTTTTTTTACATCAGTGGATCTATCATCAGACTGTATATAAGAAAGTGCGAGTTAAAAATTTAAGTTTATCTGGAGAAGCCAACTCAATCACAAAAATTCTATTTTTGTAGCTCTGGACTTTTCATGTTATTTTCAGCTTAAGTAATTTTACGATTTTTACGCTATAGAAAATTTAACTAACGCTTTCATGAGTTTTAAAATCAGTCATTCTGCGCGGCAAAAAATCACATCTAAAAGTTTCAGTTTTAAGATGTGGAGGGGGGTGTCAAAATTTGGTTGAACATTACTCTTTAAAAATTTTCACATCATTTTCGTGTTTTCAAACAATATTGCTCTAACTTTCGAAAAAATTAAGAAATATATATGCTTAGGATGCTTTTTTAATCAGACGATTGTTAGCTCACTTGGGTGATCACTCCCACGACCTAAATGCGCCCTGCCGTGCGCACAAACCACTATGTTAGCGCTATTGTCTGTGGAAGCTAAAACCAGTCTATCTAAACTGCTCATTGTTTCGACTTTCGATACGAAAGTAACGGAAGATTTGTGCTCGGGGTGGGTTTTTTTTCCTTCAGACAAGTTTCAACTTTTTAACTAGCCATTTTTGACTGAATTTGTTTATATCATTCGAAAGCGATTGGTTTTCTGAGCTCAAATTTGAAAAGATATTTCACCTGTGATCATTTTTCGTAGAGTTACGGGGGTTTAAAAATTGCCATTTCGGTTAATTTGGGACGATTAACGCGCTACATATTTCGCGTTATTAACGCGTAAGCGGAGATTTAATCCGTCTTATAAATCGTTCCAAATTGGTTGAAAGAAGCTTATTTGCCATAATTGATTTGTTACAAGGAGCGAAATCTATCCCTTTGCTCTTTACATGGCGTGTGGGGGGATGATTTTCATTTAAAAAAATTCAAATTGTAGAAAAAAAAAATTTTCATTTCATTTTATTAAATTTAATTTTTTAATGTTATTTCTGCTCCATAAACCTTAAAAGGCCGTCGGAACATTCAAGGCTTCGTCCTGATACGAGCAGTCTTGTTTTATACTTTGCTGCGGAAAATTTAACGCGAATTATTTACGCGTAGCGAAATATCCCGCACTGCAAAATCGTTCCAAATTGATTTGAGGCAAGCTATTTGGTCTCATTACTTTCATATACGACTCAAATTTTTAAAACAATTAAAACAATTATTAATTGGGACTGTTTTTCGGACTGTTTTGTATCGGACTGTTTTTTCGTTCATTTTTTATACTTTTCCGGAATGTTTTGTATTGGACTGTTTTGTATGGGACTGTTTTGTACAGACACGAAATTTAAACACTTAAAATTGAGCATAATCAGCCATAATTATCATAAAAGGCAGTCGGAACATTAAGAGTTTTGCCCCAATACGAGCAGTCTTGTCTCATAGCTGCATGACTAGATTGATTTCAGGCATCGAATTTATTTAAAAATGTCTCTAAAATGATTAAAATGAGACCTTTCATTCATTATCATGCTCAAGTTTCACATCATATTCATAAATTTTAATAAAAGTTATGAATATGATGTGCTCATAAAGAGCTAAACTTAGACTGTCAGGCAAAATTAAGCACATTAATTTTTCAAAAAATTGCGAGTGATCTTACTCCAAAACGTCAGGCAAAAGCTGATCAATAGTCAATTGGCGATCTCGCAAATAATGGTTTTGTTAAAAAAAGTTATTTATGGAAATTTAAAAATATTTCCATCACTATTAACTTAACGATTTAACAGGAAAACAATATGTTTTTGTACTTTGGTTCGATTTTCGAAAAAATTAACAGAATATATGTGCTTGAGTTTTTTTTATTCACAACTATTTCGAATTTTATTTTGATGGCCTCTCACTAAAAGAAACAGCAAAAATTTAGAAAAAATCGAAACTTTTTGAAAAAAAAACTATTTTCTTTTCGGTTGTTTAAATTTTTGAATATTTTTGAATTGTTTCTTTAAAATATAGCAACTGACTATCGCTTGGCTGTTTAGATATGGTGTCTCTGTCCCCATTTTCTGCTGCCGTGCTGCAATCGACTGTGTTGTTGTTCGTATAGTAGATGTACTTGTTGCAAGTGGAAAGAGAACACAGAACAGGTGCCAGGCATCAACGGTGAGAGTGAAGAGGTGTCCAGATCCACAGTCATGCTGTTCAAATCTGAGAAAAAGTTAGATTTCATTCGAATCAAGTTAACGTCCACTCCCCTTCTCCCCCCTCTTCCTCCCCCTACCCCTAAACAGACAGAGGTGGGATCCTCCCCGTAATCGACTTTTTTATTGGTTCTAAAATTGCTTAGCGCTGCGTGTTGAATACTCTATTCTCAGTGGCTGAAAATTTCAACTTAACATCATGTTAAACTCTTTACCCATAAACCGTTTTCGGGGATGTTAAACTGATAACTTCAACCCTCGTTTTATTATGGTATAGACGTATCATTTGTCATTTGTCATCTGGGATTGTGTTAGGGGTTGCGTCGCTATAAAATTTTCATGTAATGATTATATTATTACACATTTACATTTTATACCAAAGGAAACGAGCACGCGAATATTGAAAAAATTCAATTTTGAAATCCGGATGTAGCGCAGTTGTTAAAATCACTTTTTGCAAAAAAATTTATACTCGGGAATGTTTTAGTTTCTTATCAACTTCATATAACCTTTAATTGTTTTTGCAAAACCAGGCACCGCAAATTATCATTTGTATATCAATTCGAAGCCTTTTTAAAGCGGAGTTTGATCGAAATATCAAAAAAATTATCCTTAACCAAAACCACTGGTAGGTGACAGCTCGACTAGCATAAAATTATGAAAACATGAAAATGTATGGACTAGAATAATTTTGGTTGCTATATTTCTCAGAAAAATAAAACGACAAAAAAGAATTTTTTCAAACTAAAACTGAGAAGGGGCGGGGTTAGAAAGCGTACATTTACCCTCCAACCCATCAAGGAGTCGACCACCTGCCGACCAAAAGGACCCTTCTATGAGAATTATTTAAAAATTCTTTTATTAAGAATTCCTTTTAAACGCCTGTTTGGCCTGTTTTTTCAAATTCCTCTTCTTCCTCCAAAAAATCCTAGATCCGCCCCTGCCCCGACTTGAACCGAACACTGATTGAAATGTGTGGAAAAACTGTGATTTAAAAACGGTTTTTGGGATATCTCTTTAACTATTCCCCCCATTTTCCCGGGTCGAGGTCGGGGGTTTAAATGTGGGAGGGGGTGTAAACAAGGAGGTGTAAGATTAATAGATTATTATCCATGAAACTCCGGTGCGGGAAAAATTTGGATCTTGTTTAACGGGGATAAATAACAAGATCCAATGATTTCATTTTGATAAAACTTAAATTTTGACGATGTTTCGATTTTTATGATTGTCAATTCGGTTTTCATTTTAAAATTTTTTTGCTAGTCGAGCTTTATGCTAGTCGATACACCGCCCATTGGTACTTTGGTATAAGCTCGCTCCAAATACAAAAAAGGCAAAAAACTGAAAATTAACAAATTGTTCATGGTTGGAACCTACTGTGACAAACAAACAGAAGCCGGCTATTGTTGTTGTTCCGCCTTCCGTAACGAAGGTAACGAAGTATTTGTGCTCGGTTGGGTTTTTTTTCTGTAGAAAAATTTCGACCTTTTAACTAGCCACTTTTGACGAATTTTTTTTATATCATTCAAAATGTATTGTTGTCCTGAGCTTAAATCTGAACAGATGTTTTACCTGTTATCATTTTTCGTAAAGTTATGGGGCTTAAACATTTTGGACAATTTGGGACAATAAATGCGCGATATATTTCGCGCTATTAACTAGCCATTTTTGACGGAATTTTCCGGCTGCCTTTTAAGGTCTATCGAGCAGCAATAGCATAAAAAAGTATGTTAAGTAATAATGTATGTTATATGTATAATAAATCATTCAAAAAGTATTGCTCTCCTGGCCTTAAATTTGAAAAGATATTTCACCTGTGATCATTTTTCGTAAGGTTATGGGGTTTAAAGATTGCCATTTTGGCCAATTTGGGACAATTAACGCGCTATATTTTTCGCGCTATCAACGCGCAAGCGGAGATTTTATCCGTCTTAGAAATTGTTCCAAATTGGTTGAAGGAAGATTACTTGCTATTATTGATATGTTACTATGAGCAAAAATTATCGCTTTTTACTTAATATGGCGTGTTGGGGGATGATTTTCACAAACAAAACTTCAAATTAAAAAAAAATCATTTTATTTTTTTCTCACATTTAATTTTTTCATGCTATTACTGCTCGAAAAACTATAAAAGGCAGTCGAAAAAATCAGGGCTTTGCCCAGATACGAGCAGTCTTCTTTTGCTTTATAAACTTTGTATGCAGTATAATTATTTTCTCAGTGTAAAAAGTCAACCTCCCGATACTCATGTAATGAAGTTGGCGTGTTGGGTAGGATTTCGGAGCAGCGGAGATCGACAAAGGCGGAGAAGATTGAGGCTCTGCTGGAGAACACAGACTTCTCAGCCGAGGAGTTGAAGAGATGGCACAAGAAGTTCAAGAAGGAGAATCCCTCTGGCAAGATTACCAAAAAAGAAATACAAGACATTCTAGGTACCGAAACAGAACAGTCAATGGGTCTTTTCTATAAACAGCCCGAAACTATTCTTTTTGCTATTTTGTAAGTTTGATCATGATGCTCGAATCTGATTAATTGAAACTCATATCAGCGAAAAGAAGCTTTAGCGGTTTCAATGAAAACAAGCCTAACTAACAGTTTGATAATTTGAGCCGTGTAACAGAAAAGACTCCAGAAAATATATATGGTCTATTGGGCGAGCAGAGGACAAAGTTGAGTTGGTTTTTGAACATTGAAATTCAAACTTGAAGAGGGGAAGGGTGAAATAGGAAACAATCTATACCATGGTACTAATGCTTCAGCTCGTTTCTCCCCTTGGGTCATGCAATTTGCACATTCTTTAAGAAGCGTCAGTTTGGAACAACAATAAACAAAGATGTGGGAAATGATTCGGACTTTTGAAAAATTTGGAAAACGCAAGCAAATTACTTTCAGCAAATTTACAATTAAATGAAACTGCAAAACATCGCAAGCAAAAACACCAGCTCGATGAAAAAAAAAATAATACAAACATTTCATAAAACACAGATACTGGCAATGCACATGAATTCTGGCTTGATAAAAGCTTGGTTTGTCCAGTTGGTATTACAGTTTAAATAAACTCGGCTGCAGAAAAACACTTTAACGTTCATTTCGTTGGATTGTTAGGATCCTACTTTTGTTTTATATTTCTCTTCAGAATTATAATGTTAAAACATCTATAATTTTACGCGTTGAAATTGTCTGACTATCATATGGTTGACTATGATGTTCGTAATGCCAATCATAAGATATTATTTACAATCCCCCCATTGTACCTTGCAAAGCACTCTCACCCTTATATTGGACTAATTGAATGCTTTAGTGTTACTAACATTTTACCCTTTGCTATGAATCACCCTTTTCGGAAGGGGACAGTTAAAAAATCTAGCAAATTTTCCTAACTGACTTTCGCTTCAATTACTGAGTTTTTTACTGCCTAGTCGCTTCAACTCGTCTGAACAAATGTATGAGAAAAGTAGTTGTTTCAGCCTCACGCTTCCCCGACGGAGACCCGGCACAGGCGGCCGCTCGGGTCATGCAGATATTCGACCGAGATCAAAGCGGGTTCCTCGACTTCTTCGAACTTGTCACCGCTCTCTCCATCGCCCGAAAGGAAAGAACAAAGCAACACTCTTTTCCTTTTCTTCGCCCAAAACATTGAAAACTGCCGGGTTTTTTTTTACATTTCTTCAAAGTTTTGATCGATCAACTCTAGTACAGAAACAGTCATTAACACTACTTTGATATTTGAATAAGCTCTGCTGAAAATTGGGTCTGATTTACTCGAACTTCTGAAAAAACAGTACATGTACATGAAACATCTCGGAATGAATGTAAATTCAATAAATATCAGTGAATTCATTTAACTTCCTAACTAGATTATTAACGAAAAAATTGTTGTTTTCGCAAAAACCCTTTCATGTTTTTATTAATTTTAGAAAAAATAATAGAAGTTTAGGGTGTCATTTTTTTGTAATAAACAGATTATTTTTCTTGAAAGGCTCTTCCCCGTTCTTTTTAACCTCCTTTATAACGGTTAAAAAGGAAAAAAAGAGTTGTTTTAAAGGGATCCAAAGAGGACAAACTTCGCCTGGCTTTCAACATGGTCGACACCGACAACTCCGGAACAATCGACATGTCGGAACTGTCTGAGCTCATGAAAGCGCTACACAATTTAGTCGGCCTGACAGTGTCCCGATTTTCAACTGAGGAAGACGATACTCCGGACTCACATGCAGTTCGAATGATGGAAGTGTTTGACAAAAACAACGACAACGAAGTCACTTTTGAAGAGTTCTGTGAGGGCATTCAAAACAATCCAAACTTGGCCGTTTTGATTACAAACTTTGCCAGTCCAGAAATGATTTGTTCCGATTTTGTAAAATAATTTACTGTCTTTGATTTTGTACACAAAAATAGAAAGGTTTTTCATTAATAGGTTAGCTACACTAAATAAAGTTTTTTTTTTATAATTTAATAAAAAAGAATTTCTTAAACGCTTTTCAGTTTCAAAGGCGAAAAATAATCAAAAACCACATGGATAAACTAAAATAGCCGTTTGCAGTGCAAGTAGCACAGAATGTTCCGGACCATATTCATAAAAACTACAAAAAAAGTTCTTTATATTATTAGCGTCGTTTTTTGTGCATGGCGTGATCATAAAGCTATACGCACGCAAAAAAAATAGTAAATTAGGCATACTCGAAATCTGATGTCATCAAAAAAAAGTTAACAAGCAAAAAAGTTTTAAAAAATCCGAAAAATTTCAAAATTATTTATATTTTTTTCAACAATGATTTTTACAAAGATTTTTACAATCAACAATGATTTTTCAACATTGATTTTTCAAAAAGAAAAATATTGTCAAAGTGCCAAATTCAAGACTATTTCCGTTTAGAACGAGCAATTTTTTTTTGCCTAAAGGACCAATCTAATAAATTATCTTTTCTTTGCACAGTCGAAATTAAACGAAAAACCAAAAATTTCAAACCAGTTTTTCTCGACACTGGGTTGTTTTGGAGATTGTTTAAGGTCGTTCGAATCACAACTTAAAAACTTTAAAATAATATATCACGCAACCCTTGATGCTTATTTTTGGTAGCTGGTTTTGCGCAAAAAAACCAAAAAGTTGAAACACTCCCGATTAAAAATTCCTCCGCATTTTCAATAATCGGAACAAAAGTAGTGTTATTTTGAGGTGATTCGATTTATATAAACAGCCAAAAGGTAACCGCAAACAAGAATATTTAAAAAGGTTTACTCAGACATTCAACTACTAAAAAAATTTGGAGAGTTGGAGAGAAGTTGGGAAAGTAAATGGGTTTAGAAAAATCACAAAACATTTAAGTCTCGGTAACGCATGTTCTCTCTTGTTCTCATTTTTCTCTTGTTAAAAAAAAAGAATTAACCTTAAGCATGACGTTTTAACAAAGTTGAGACCTAATGTTGACATAGATTGCGTAGACAATTGATTTTGGACAAAGTTTTGAACGGATCCGAAAAGTTACGTTTGCATTTAATTGTTCCGACTTTTGTAACGAAAGTAACGGAATATTTGTGCCCGGGGTGGTTTTTTTTTCAGACAAAATTGGAATTTTTAACTAGCCATTTTTGGCGTTTTTGTATCATTCAAAAGGTATTGTTGCTCTGAGGTTAAATTTGAAAAGATATTTCACCTGTGATTACTTTTCGTAAATTTTTGGTGGTTTAAATATTGCCATTTTGGCCAATTTGGGAGAATGAACGCGCGATATATTTAGCGCTATTAACGCTTAAGCGGAGATTAAATTTGTCTTAGAAATCGTAAAATCGTTCCAAATTGGTTGAATAGAGCTTATTTGACATAATTGATTTGTTATTAGGAGCGAAGTGTATCAGTAGTATATGAGTGAGGGAGAGTAAGGGGGGTTGGTGGTGGGTGACCCCATGTTTTAAGATAACGAATAGAGCATCCGGTCACCCACCTATGTATTTGGATAGGGAAAAGACTTCCTATGTTTTAAGATAGGTGATAGGTTTTACTATAGGTTTGAGATGGTAAGATGGTAAGTTTCAGAAAAATTTCTCGGCGCCCGATCTTACCATGTTTTAAGATAGTGTATAGATATCCCTATGTATAAGGATTAGAAATTCATTGTAGGGAATTAGGAACTCATTAAGATGGGGAATAGGTTTCCCAATGTATTAAGATGGTAAAATGTTTGATGGTAAGAGAATGGTAAGAAAAACGGTATTTTTTTGGATTTTGTTTCGAAATGCTTAGTTTTTTGCAAAAATCTTGGCATGCGTTATGTAAATTGTGAGTATTACGTGTAGAGTCTGTAATGAAAGTATTATATTTTTTGGTTCATGTTAAACCAATGGCAAGATGAACAAAAACTTGAAAATTTTTTTAAAAAATTTGAAAAATTTTTCAAAAAACTTCAAAACACGATTGCAAAAACTTCAAGTTTCTGGATAAAAATTGCAGAAATCTCAAGTTTTGGCTAATTTTTTGTCGCTTCTGACCTGATTGTAAAATAGTTAACTACCGCAATTACTCTTATCAAACAACTGAACTTTCATACTATACTAAGATTTTATGTTTGGTATAACTTGAAGGGAGAAATGATTTGGTTTATTTTGCTATTATTAACTGCCACTTATTCGTTCTCTTCTTCTACTGCTTAATGAAACCCTTGAAATGATTGCGACAACCTTTCATCGCAATCTCTCTGCAGGTCATTTGAAATGATTGTTGTTTCCTCTTTTTTGATTACAAAAATAGTATCTGTTCGACAAGCTTGAAACTTTGTTCCCTTCTCTAAAAGCAAAGCATAAACTTTCCCTGTTGTTTCTTTTTGTTCTGACTTTCGAAGAAAGTACGGAATATCCTTGCTTGGTGTGTTTTTTTAATCGGCCAATTTTCGACATGTTAACAAAGATTTGTTGGAATTTTTTAAAACCATCTGAAAGATATGTTATGCTAAGCTCAAAATTAAAAAGATGTTTCACCTTTGATCTTTTTTTTGTAAATATACGAGCGTTTGAGTTTGCTAATTTGAACAATTTCGGATAATTAAAGTGCAATTTATTGCGTACTTATATTACGCGTAAGAAGCGAAAAAAGCGAGTTAATGTTTTGCGAATTGAATTGAGGCCAGCAATTTAATCATTTTATCAGAATACGAGACGCTTATTACACCCTTAGTGTTTTACATAGCTTTTGGGGAGATAAATTAAAGAAAAAAATTCTTATTTTTTCTCAATTATTTTGTCAACTATTTAACCAAAAAAAGTTTTAGTTGGCCTTAAGTGCAGTCGGAACATACAGGGCTTTGCCCTGATATACGAGCAGTGTTGTTCAGATTATTTTCGGTTTGGTTTACAAAGATAACTGTTTGCTGTGCAAGTAGTTCTACAGAAAAAGCAAACAAGACTGTGCGAATCAGAGCGAAGCCTTGAATGTTCTGACTGCCTTTTAAGGTCTATGGAGCAGTATTAACATGAAAAAATTACATATAATAAAATAAAATGAATTGGTTTTCAATTTGAGGTTTGTTGTGAAAATCATCCCCCACATGCCATATAAAATACAAAGAAATAGATTTCGCTGCTAGTAACAAATCAATTATGGCAAATAAGCTTCTTTTAACCAATTTGGAACAATTTCCCCGGAATAAATCGCGCATTATTTGTCCCCAACTGGCAAATTTGCAATCTTTAGCCAAAATTAGGGGGCTAAATAAATCGGCCAAAATTCGGGGGCTAATTAATACAGCAGAAATCTCATTCAAAAACGAACTGCAACAAGCAATTGTGTCCAAATTTTTTACAGCAAATTCTAAAAAAGCTTTAAGGTATCATTTCGTCGTTGATATTGATTGCGGGATAAAATAAATACAAACGGTAGAAAGATCAATTTCTTTATTTTCTTTTAATTTGAAATTATTTAACTAATTAAAAAAATCGAAAAACCAATCATTGAAACGGTAAAAGGCAGTATGAACATGAAAGTTTTGCTTAGAAAAAAAACGGTCTTGGCTGCATTGTTTGAGCGCCAAAACTACTGGAAAAATCTCAATTTTTATAAAGGGTCTCAATATTTATAAAAAAAATTTTCTTGTTGCACTTTTAGAGGTTATGGAACTTTTAATTTTAAAATGGCGTTGGTATATCTAAGCTAAATATGATTTCCCTGCAATGGTAAGGTAAAATTTGGGCACGCCCTCTCACTTGTCCCTTTAGGTCTATCTGTTCAAATTAGCGGTCTCCTAAATGTCTCTTTATACTTTGCAAATTATATACTCTTCCCACTTATTACTCTGGATTTTTTGTCCAGGCAGAATTGAGATTTTTTGGATAAATAAATAAATTGTTTCAATATATCCCTATATATTATAAGTTATAATTTACCATAAATATTGAAATACTCAGGTAATGATCAAAAGCTGATTTAAATAACTGGACAACAAAAACAAAAAATCCAACGAATTTTCTAAAACTGAGATAATTAAGTTATTGCATTTCATTTCATAAAAATTTTGTATCGCCTGCTCTGAAAAAAACTGATGATGCATACTTATTGTGTATCGATCATCAGAAAATTGACAATCATTTTCTGCGTAATTCATTCGTATTGGTTGAACAAGTCGAAATTTAATAGTTCGTAAATTGTACAAAACGTTCAAGTGAATTATAAACATTTGCTATAAAACTAACAGACACATTTTTGAGGCTGCCGTAGTATTGTTGCTGATCGTAGGTGTTCCGGTAGAATGGGCGAGGGCCCAATGCTATAAAAACCGGAAAAATGCATAAAATAAATAAAAACCGGAAAAATGCGTTCGAAAACTGTAAAAATTTTTCAATGCAAAATTTTGGAGGTTTCAAAATACTTCAGCTCAAACATCATTTTTTTTGTTGAATACGTCGGAAACTGAACATGAACAACTTCACAAAATAATCCTTTCTAGCAGAACGTCAAGCTAATTATAAAGAACTTTTCTAATGCATACCGAGTAAATGATTAAACACAAAATCACCATGTGGTTAGTCATTTTTTTTCAGATGGATTCTCAATCTTGATGTTTTGACGCCAAATCTTTTGCTTCTAAGTCAGTTTAATTTGTCGTCATCGTCTTCAAATTTGAGTTTAAGTTTTTCTCATTCAAATTACTATGCACGCTCGTAGTGCTTAAGTAACTTCAAGTAAACCGGGAAAAGTCAAAATCCACCGTTATGCTAATCTCGCGCTTGTTAAGCTTATTCCGAGTCTCACTACTTCCACATTCGTTCGACCCCAATTGGTTGATGGTCAAACATACCGTCGAGTAGCGGACCTGGAGCCAATCTTAAGCCAAAAAAACTGAGATGGCAATCAATCCGCCAAAACTTTAATTAGCCAAAATTGAGAAAGTTTAGATCAAAACGAAATATCAAATCAGACAATTATCACGCTCA